AAATACAAAAAGAAATAAAATTATTGTTTGGAGAGGAAATAAAAAAAAAAAGCAAATTTTATTTCTAATCTTTCTTGTTATACTTTTTTTTTACCGGAACGATAGGAAGTACTTATATTTACAACATAGATTAGAAAAAAGCTACTCAGCTAAAGATAAGGGCAACGACCAAATAAGCCGACCAACCGACTTTAGTAGAATGGACTATGATGTGGTCGTAAGAAGCGGTTCATGGAGGACCGGTTGTGATCCGTGTTTTAGTCGTACTCAGCTGGGTGGTTCAATCTGGTAGACGCATCCCATGGTACCTCTGGGGTACATGGGTGGTAGGCGGAGGCTAGCTCGACGTGAGCTAGGCAGGGCACCTTGGCACCTAGGTAGCTGGACGTCCCACTGAGGGGACCAGAGCCCAGAGGTGGTATCGTGCTCAAGTCATGAAGAGGTTTGCAACCTCAAGGACTCTTAGGATTTTGACCTAATCCAGAGGAAGACTCATAGTATGACAAGAACTCTTCAACCCCTAGATGACTTCATCTATAAAAAGGCACATGTTCATTCATTCTACACAATACACACATACAAATTCTCTCGTTACTCTACCGTTTTCTCTTTGGACCACCATTGACTTGAGCGTCGGAGTGTTCGCGCCGGGACCACCCCCGGCGTGTTTTGCAGGTACCGACGATCAAAGAGACGCAATCCGGTTTAGAGAGGAGCGGTTTAACGGTTCAGGTATTTGTGGTATAACAGACTACACTCAGACGACATCCTAGAGTCAACTTAAAACACAAAAACAAACTAAAAAACTCCCAAAATGAGAAGAAACAAAAGCTCCCAATGGAAGAACACAGTGAACACACTCCCAATGGGAGAGAAATAGATAAAACACTCGAAAGAACACAAAAACAAAAAACACACCTAAACAGAAATTGACCAAACAAAAGCCCTTCCCACAAAAATCAATCCAGACACCAAAACAAAGCACCAACAGTCTCTTGATCGCCCACCTAAACGATCTGGACCGCCGTCGGAGAAACAACTCCCGAAACAGCCAAAAATTGCCTAACTCAACCCGAGACCCAACAACCAAAAACTGCCTAACTCAACCCTAGAACCGAACTCCAAACCAATCCATTAATTTTTTTTTTTAAATCGAAAGATTCTCATAAATAGAACACATAATTACAGACAGATAAACAACCGGTAACAACCAGAAAGAAAGGCTACACGGCTGGAATCCTTAGGAGGACAACGTGCAAGGTAGCCTAAACGAAATGCACAACACACCCACAAGCTCTCAATAGGAGAATTCAACTCCCAACAAAAGAATATACACAAACATAAAACAAACAGAACAACAACACACTAAAAACACACAAATACATACTAGAATAATCCCTTCCCACCAGCTGACCAACAACCCAAACCCTAAAGATTCGGTTCCAAGCACGACACTGGAAACTCCTGACCAATGCCGGCTAACCAGGACCCACTCGAACACCAACACCT